TGCCAGCAGGCGACTTGACCAAATGAACAACATTTCCAGAGGTAGTAAGAGCGGAGGGATTAGAAATCGCCGAGCCTGCAGATGTAACCTGTTTTCCAGTAGTGAATGTAATAACCTAATAAAAGATACGGCAAGAAGACCTTTAAAAAGGACAAAATCGACTAAAGCTATTTATTGGGAAATAATGGATGATGAAAAACTATAACTTCAAATAAATCAAAGAATTATAATTAAAGCTGAAAATGAGAATAGAGATTATATCTATTAAGTATGCAAGTTAAGGAAATTGTGAAGAACATATTAATAAGTTGGAATGGTTTAGGTTTGAAGTAGATGCTTATTTAGATTATCTAGGCCAAATTAAAGCAAACTATACTGAAAATGGAAGGACAACTCAGATATAAGTAAAATGTAATAACCAAAAAGCAAAAGTGAACAAAAGGTTGGGTCATTATAATTTTAGAAAATATGCCAGAGACTCTAAAATCTAGATAAGAACATACTTGCTGTTTGGAGCCGGGTTGTACAGGAGTTCTCAAGATAGTTGCACTCTGTTGCTGTGCTGCCGCTGCTGCTACAAGAGCAGCCCTACCTGTCACCGCACTTCCAGGAACAGGAGTAATTTTAAGACCTGTAGGTGTAACTACGGTTGGCCCACGAGACATCCCGGAAACAGAAGTAACTCCACTTGGTGCCGAAGTAGCAACCGATGCCAAGGAAACTGCAGAAGCTGAAATACCTGAAATAGTGGAAATACCTGCCCTGGCTGATTGTGTGGTAAGCATTGAACCAGAACTACTATGAGCCGAAGTTGTGACGCATAACGGAGTAGTAGAGGCGGCAGAAGCTAATACCTGCAGTGAAGTACTGACGGTCTGCGATGTTGCTTGTGGTTGCCCCAAGGCTACAACTCCTCCAATAAGTCGCTTGAAAAGAGAATACAAAAGCATAACCGCATGTTCGAGTTACATTAAATACAACTGCTAATGGAAAAATAAAGCATGGGAATCATGAAAGCGTCGTATTTGGGTGCAGAATGACAATTTTAGATTAGGAAGATGCAAGGCTTATGTAATTTGGGCTTACTTGGGATATAGGTGCTGTGATGCGCTGTTGTGGCTTGACGTCTACGGGGGAAATTTGGCTTTGCATAGGCGATGGTGTTGCAGAACTCAAGGCGATAGGAGAGGGCGTAAGAGTCGTGGTAGAATTTACTGACGAAGCTGAAGACACATCATATTTTTGAATTTGCAAAATATACGCATCTGCAGTTGGTACGCTGCCCCAAGCAACTTCCAAACTTTGAGTACCGGCGCGAACAAGTTGTACGCGCGACGGAGCAGTAGGCCTATCAGTTTCAAGAAACCAAAGATCCTTGAAGCAGACCTAAAAAGCATAAAAAATTAATACAAAAAGACGATATCATAAGCCTATTAAACTAAAACATACCTGGTTGTTCCAGGCCTTACGATAACCATCACGTCCGGACCATATATAGAGGCGGCTGTGGACGGCTACGGCACAATGACCGGCCCTGGCACGAGGGACCAAACTATCGTCAAAAACCTCCATGGCAAGAGGCTCCCAAGACATTGTATCCAAATTTAGACTGGCCAACGTGTTGGTGCATTTCCACTCTTTTTCTTGAGCAGTAACTTTCATATCATCCATCACCAACGGAACCCAGCCACCAAATACAAACATTCTGTATAATAAAAGTAAAAAGGATAAATTTGAATAAAAATGGTATGTCGAGAAACAAGACTTACCTGTTACCAATAACGGTTGCACTATGAAGGCTCCTTGGGGCTGGGGGGTCACCAGAAACCACAGGCTTCATCCAGGTCATTGTGTCAATCTCTAGCTGCCATAGATCTCCTAATCTACATCCGGTCATTCCACCGTATACCAAAAGTCGCCATTTTTTTGCAATACCATCCATTACCTGATATGCGACAGCAGTATGCGATTCTCGAGGGGAAGGTGGCTGGCCATAAGTGATAGGTATGTCCCAACACATAGCTGATGAGTTTGGCTTCAGTTCTAACGTATACAGATCATTTAAGTATCTGTTCATAGAATAAGGATTAGCTAAAAGGCATAACAGTCTACCTAGGTATATTATTTTTTGGATCTTCACTGTCATTGGTTATTCCGCCAAATAAGAACGCTCTTTGGCCAACCAGAGTAAAACTATGGCCTGAGAGAAAGTCAGATAAAAAAGCAGACCTATGCGAGCATTTGGTGAAGGGCCATTTCTTGGAGGCTTGGGCTTAAGTCTTTTCCATTCCCATCTTGACGCCTGTAGTTCATATAGTTCATTTGAATATTTTCCATATTCAAGCATACCTCCGAACATCAATACACGAGTATTTTCGGCAATCATTCCAAATGCAGCGCAGCCAGGGGGGATATCGCCACGGACAGCAGGCAGGAACCATTGACAAAGTGCTACGAATGATAATATTTTATTCAACCATTACTTGTGTTAAAGACGTGCAGCTCATCAACAATACCCTCATTTCCCCCGCCGAATATAACAATAAGATCCTTAAGGGCAACGGCTCTATGCCCATGCCTAGATCTAGGAACATTTCCTGACGTAGTAGTAACCTTCTTCCACATCAAGGATGGACCTGGCGCCTCCATATTGTAATTTATGTAGGGGGCGTTGCAAATAAAAAAGTCAACAAATTACAATGAATGCAAACTTGTGAGTAATAATTTATTTTAATATTTATATAATAAAGCAACTAAATTTTATTAAAAACGTTTAATTTATAGTTTATTAAATAAAATTATCTTAAAAATTAGCAGTATAAAAATATTTTTTGAATCATATTTACTTTTGTATTTTAAGAATAATAATTTTGAGTTTCTTGAACGGAAGTGTATTGTTAGTTTCAACCTGAAACATTATTTCCGATAATTTGGGCTGTGCAACCTATTCACATTTGGCTTGTCAGCTTATTCGGTTAGGGTTTTATAAATCTAACTTATAATGGGTGTGCTAATAAAACACTGGTAATATCCTTTACTTTAAGTATTGTTTTTTTTCTTATATCACATATTATCTTTCGAATTTTAGTTTTACATTAAGTGAGCTTAAGCTTGTAAGTATCTTATTAATATTAGCTATTATTTAGATTTTATATAATTTAATTAGTTGAATTAAATTTACTTAACAGTTTTAAATGTATTTATTTAATCACATTATACAACGTTAACCTCTATATTTTGCTAACTATCCTCTTATAATTATTCATCATATATTATGTTAGATGTAGCTTAATTTTATTTTTTACTACTAATAATGCTCATTTTGCTTATATTTTTTTAGTAAAATTTATAATTTCTTATATGGATTGCTATAGTTATTTCTTTTCGCTCAACTTTTTGCAGTCATTAAACAAAATTATCTATGATATATTCATCTTTGAGAATCTATTAAGCTTTTTTTAAGTTGCTTGCCATTTAACCAGGGAGCTTATTAAAAAATATTGTTAAAGCTTATTATATCGTACTCTTACATATGTGCTACTAGCGGCCTGACTTTTGCTTGCGTTACAACGTAGTCGGTAAGTTTATTGTGTGGAGTCTGTAAAGATTTTACATGTGTGCAGAGTTAACAGTGAAAGTAATATGAGATAAATTCATTCTATTTTGTTTAAGGTGATGAAGGACTGGCAGTACAATTTTCCAACAATGATATGAGTAGAGATGACGTTTCCATTAAATTTTACATAGCCTTGCTTTCCCAAAAGTTTTTCTTATTCAGGGAACCAGTGGACTGCAGTATCGACCTCGCATCAGTCTTATCAACACCCCGAGCGGGATTCGAACTGTGACAGTGCAGAATGGGAGCTTAAAACGTTAACCACTCGACAACATTGCCACAAGTGCTCTTGGCTCACAGTGCAGATGTGAATTACAAGGAAGACCAGGCCTTTTGCCATATCATATACTTTGGTAGGATTTTCAGTAAAGTAAACGTATATTTGCTATGAAATTGACTCCGTTACTTATATCCTTGAAATTAACATCTGCCCTGTTACCCAAGGGCACTCGTGGCATTGTTGTCGATTGGTTAACGTGTCAAGCTCCCATTCTGCACTGTAACGGCTCGACTCCCGCCGGAAGTGTTGATAAGACCGATGCGAGGTCGAAACTGCAGCCCACCCTGGATGAGAACAACTTTTGGTAAAGCAAGGCAATGTGAAATTTAATGAAAACGTCACCTCTACTTATATCAATGTGTGAAAATTCTACTACCAGTCCTTCATCACCTTAAACGAAATTGGGTGAATTCATCTAATATTATTGATTTACTGGTAGTCTCGAAATTCTACTCAAATACGAAAAAACAGTGAAAGTAGATTTGTTTGCATTTGTAGCGCTAAGTTACAGCTAACATTTAATGGTCTCCATACTCTATTTGCTAAGGCTTCAGTCTGATTCAGAAGCAAACGCTGAATGACAGAAAGTCGTATAAGAGAAGACGTCATTTTACAAATAAGGATGTTTATATGGAGAAGATTCTTTCCTATTTTATTTATTTTCGTTTTATATTATGCAGATTGTATATGTTACATTGTGATAGTGTCTTCCGGTTAGTCTGGCTTTGTGAGATAGCTGAAAATCTGGTAGGTAGAATAATATATTTGAGTACACGCGGTAAAAGTGTGGCTGTTCGACAGTCATTAGGTCCTATTCAATACAAAGATTCTTCATAGCTGGCCTCTGTGTGAAAGGCGAAGCTATTGAGACCAACCTGTACATTGCTACTATAACTTTTGTTTTTAATTGATGTTTCTTGCAAAATATATAGACTACATTTGATCTTTTCATATATCTTTAATGAAGGATTTTCGAATTATAAAATTCTATAATGCAAGATATTTGATTTTGTGTTATCTTGAATCCGATTGCAAAAATATCACGCTTTTGTTAAGTGTATTTTTGAAATATTTCTACCATTTGACACTGCATTTTCTAAACCAGAGATTTTATCAAACCCTCTTGTATACAGTTTTCTGTGCATAAGCTGCATTTTCTCATCTGTCTTCCATTTTTTCAAATTTTATACTTAATAATTTTCATACATTTTGTTTTATACATATTTCTAAAAACATTTCATGAAATAGATTTATAGCAGTAAGCTAAAGCTAAATTGTTCTCTAATTTCTTATAAACAGTATATCTTTCCGCCTCAGTTCCTCTATTAATTCCATTCTGTTATTTGTCTTTTTATTCATCATGAAAGAGTTCATTGGGTCGGTCGTATAAGTTTCCCACATTTAGTTTATTGACCAAAAAATTTTCTTTACATTAAAGCAATCAGTTGCGAGTTAAAACAAAAGACATTACAGTACTTCTTATTTGATGGCTAGTTCTTGATACATTTCTAAATTTGGATCACAGACTTATTATATGCTAGTGTGTTAAAATACCTTTTGATTATGCTCTTTTTCCTGTCTATCATCAAACTTCTACCTCGTGTTAAGGAGCTTTGAACTTCCGTCAATAATTTATATCGAGTTTATTTGACCTTGTTTTCGCAACTTGGTCATATTGGTAGGAAGACTTAGAGGAACGCACATAGTTTGAAGTCCCTTGTATAAATGATCATTTCCAGAGTAGGACCGTGGACGTGGTACATTCTTAGACGTTTCGCCGGCATCGTAGTCGGCATTATCAGTGAGTCTCGCCATTCTTAGCACCTCTCAACAACTCGTCAAAGAGACAAGTGAAGCCGATCCTTTGACCAAACTTCTGCTAAACAGTTCCTCTGGGCTATTCACATTTTTATATGCTCCTATCACGCTTTCACTGTTACAATTTTTACCGTGCCTATTTCGATGTAGTGTGGTGTGCTCCTTTGAGCTGCATTCAGGAAAACCATTAACACTCTACGCTGTCGCTCTCACCTCCTTCACCCTTGTACTGGGAATGTTGAACAGAGTCTGTCATATTGTTACGCAGTCCTCCTTCCCTAGGTCTTATCACAGTCTCTTTCTTTCCCCGTAAGATCCGTCTACTCTCTTCCTGGTTCACATATTTTCTCGACCCCTGCCGCGTCATCTGTGCTGCTCGAGGCGTTATCCTACGTTTGGGTGACTAATTAGAGGCTAAAGCCTCTGAGTAAGTGTCATGGTCACGTTTTTTCTACATAGACCACGTCTATGGTAAAAACAGACCCACAAACGTTGTGATTTAACATTGAACCTAATCAAAGCAAGCAGTACGAGAACATTTGTGGGTTGTCACACAAGAGACTAGGGCATGGAAAGTCATAGACTTGGTATTAGGGATAGAAACATGATGGACGTGGCGGAGACTGAAGCTAGTTGGCTGACAGTAGGTCTCTTTTTACCATAGACGTGGTCCATGTAGCAAAGGGGTGACCATGAGACATACTCATAGGCTTTAGCCTCGAATTTGTCAGCCAGACGCAGTGGAGGGCGAATAACGCATCGAGCAGCACAGATGAGGTTGCAGGGATCGAGTTATATATGTGAACCAGGGAGAGAGTTAACGGATCTTACGGGGCAAGAGAGAGGACTGCGTAACAATATGGTAGACTCTATTCAACATTTCCAGCACAAGAGTGAAGGGGTGAGAACGACAGCGTGGAGTGTGAATGGTTTTCATGGATGCCACTCAAAGAAGCACACCACACTGCATCGAAATAGGCATGGTAAAATTGTAACAGTGAA